TACATTGACAGCAAGTCTGAAATATATTTTTTCATTAAGCATTCAGTGATTTATTATCATGAACCTGGTTCTGCTGGCTGGCTTGATTGTTCATTCCAATCACCTGTTTAACTCTGCCCGGTTTATCATTACAACTTATGTGATTCACCTGTTTCTAGCTCCTATTTATGCTCCCTGTTTTCCGGCCAGATTAATCGAGCTGTTGTGAGAGTAACTCTAGGTTCAAGTAAGTTTGTCTGTAATTCTAATTCCGATATGTCTTCTACTTCGTATTTTGAAGTTCTTGCTTTGCCCTTTTCTGCTCTGTCTGCTGTGGTTTTTTTGCACTGTTTTCCTGGATTCTGCTGGTTACCGAAACCTGGACTGTGTCACTGACCTCGGCTTGGATTCTCCTTACGGACACTGTTGCTCCCTCTGCGTCAGCTGGCGTCAGCTAAACATCACTCGGGGCGCTGAAGCGGCTATGGTGGACAATATCCCTTCTGGATTCCTCCCTTTCGTCTGGGATCAGACCGGAGTTTGAAAAAGGTCAATAAGTTTTTGCTCCTAGCCTTGTTCAGCCCGACATTCCAGTCACCGACCTGTGTTTCCCATCTCTGCAGAAAATCTGGTTATCTGCCCTGCTGAAGCTCAGCCGCTCACTGTGTTTCTGTTTTAAATAAAGCGTGTAGAAAATCGTCCTGGTCTGTCTGTCTGAATATTGGGTCCTAGTTTCTGAGGTTAATACATCTACAGTAGCAGCCATTCAAAATGGCCCTTCCTGGCCCAATGGCAGCCCACTTCCCTCCAATTCCCGGCGAAATCCCCTCCAGCTTCCAGCCACTGGAGTGACCCCCTCTTGCATATTTTTTTACTCTGACTCCACCCTTTCACTGAATTACAGGATCTGACCAGGAGGACGATGCTTCTCTTTAGATCTTGTTATGCAAAAATCATGTCAGAATATTTTAGTATAAATATTGATGTTTAAAAAGGAATTGTAGGTAACCAGCCAAGGGCCCATCAAGGAAAGTGGGAACATTTTAAACGGCTACAACTGTATAGACTAATAGTATTTTAAATCTTCTGAGATACAGGGGACACAATGTAAAGACTTTCACTCTGGAGGATGTGCTTCACTTAGGTAGACCTGTGAAGATACTATTGCAGCTATAAATTGAATTTCTGTACTAATATACTCAAGTACAATGCCTGCTGCTGGTGGCCTCCACAATACTAATTGTACATTGCAGCAGAATCCAGTAACAACAAGAAGTTATTTTTGGACCCTTTAGGGATTATTGGTCAATTTATTATCCTGTTTCAATTTTAGGCATGAAGACTAAAATCATTTGAATGTTTTTATTTACAGTATCAGACAACTCTAAAAGTATTTTAATTTTCTCCATTTAGCTATAGCCCAGAAATATAACAGCATGTGGAAAATAACTATAAACAAGAGAGCTAAATTAACCATAAAACATAATTAACCACAATAAGCATTTGTACATCCTCAAAACATTTGTTATAATTAAACTATCTGAATAATCATCACCTACGCTTCTTAATTTGTTAATAAGATGATGTTGCTATGATACTTAGCCTGATAAAATATGTCAAGTTAAAGCAATCACTTCAGTTTCTTCTGCAAGCCACTGATCAAAAAGAGAAAAGTGTTGACAATCTAATTAGAGCTATTTCCTGTTGGGAAACGCTGCCTACTGCTTTCAGGAGGTCATATCTGTGAACATGGAAATTACAGTTATCCTGTAATAATCACAAGACATGATGAGTAACGTTCAATTTTAGTTGCTTATGTTTGCCTGGAATCTTTGCTTTATATGCTGCACTATAATTTATAAAAAAATGTATGTATTCATGAGAGATGAGTTTTTAAAATGGTTATTAATGTATGTGATTTTTTTTAAAACCATGGTTTGAAGTCATTTCATGGAAGAATAATGGTAATGGGTCACATTTAGATTTCAAATGAAGGAACAATTATTCACTTGGACTATCAGAATCTTGGCAAAGCTGCTACTTCCAGAAATGCTCTCAGCAGCAGGCTGCACTGTGTGGTGCCTGAGGTGCGGTGACATGATGTGGGCTGACAGGTGGCACTGTGGGTAATAGGGCTAAAACTCCCATCATGCAACCTGCTGAGACTCATTCCTATCACTCTGCCTGACCAAATGTGCTCACCTACTCAGCCACTTCAAACTCATTAGTGCATTGTGATTAAAAGCTGCTACAAAGTCACAACTGGGATGTAGCTTCTAGGTTTGGACTAAATTAATTAAGAAGTAAAGGTTAAAGCTGTGTGCAAATAGTTACCATGTTATAGAAACATGGTTTCACCTGCATAACTTTCAGCAGGTTACTCATTACTTAAACAATGTGATGTTACAGTAGGTTTAGTGAAAGGGAATTGTTGAAATGTAGAGAAAAATAAATCTTGCTAGATTGTTATCAAATAAAGTATGGCATCATAGCATTCGTCTTGATGTACAAGTTTCTCTGTCGTGTCTTTGATACAACAGAGTTTAATGTTCCTCTTTCATGTTATCAGAAATAAACAAGTAATGACATCTTCGGTTTTCATTCAATAATGTTTTGTTTAGTACCTATTTAAAATAAAGTTACAGTTGACCCAATATTTCATGGCGACCCTGGTTTATTTTCCATAAAACACAGCCTCTAAGATTTTTTATCAAACTGAAATATTTACTCTAGCAAACAACAAAATTCTATCTAGAAGACTCTTACCAGCTTCACCTGAATCACCTGCGATGTCCCTGGTTCAGCTTTAGCCAATCATCTCTCAAGATCCCCTTGATTTATATCCTGGCCCAGCTTTTCTCTCCTGCATGCAAGCGAACTTGTTACCAATCTCCATACCATCTGTTGGGATCCAGAGGCTTGCCCTCCAGAGGGCGCCGAGGATCCCTTCCTGTTTATTTGTTTTTCTGTTGGGATCTGGGGTGCTGTCTACTTTCCTCCACCAGAGGGCGTACTGGATCTCCTGAACCTGGAGCTGCCCTCACCAGCTGATTCTCATCTGCTCATCAGGGGACCAGTACTTAAGTGGGCTGTGGACAACACCCCGACTCCAGAGTGTTTTTGTTAATCACGGAAGAAACCTGACTGAACCCTGGGACTCTGGAGGAGTCTCCCTTGCTGAAATCTGCCTGCCGCATCTCATGAGCTCTGGAGGAGCTCATCTTCTGAAACCTGCTATCCTGCTCTTAAAGGAATAGTACACCCAAAACATGATTAGCCTTCATTTTCTACTCACCCCCATGCTGAACAACACTCTGGAGTACTTTTTTGATATCTCAAACTGAAAATGAAAGGCTAATCATGTTTTGGGTGTACTATTCATTTAACTGCACCCTGGAAACTCTGGAAGAAAGTTCCTTGCTAAAATCTGCCAACTGTATCTCAGGAGCTCTGGAGGAGCTCATCATCGGAGACCTGTCTTCCTGCTCTTGGTAGTCAACCAGGACATCTGCAGTCTGGATCTGCCCGCCTGTTCTCTGGGAGAGAACTTTGAGCAATTCAAGGACTGAATTCCAGCTAGTCAGAAGCCTAGCCCTGCTGCTGCCTAGCCCTCTGTTTATCCCCCTGCCTCTGAACCACAGATCAGAGTATTCTGTGTGACCAGTCCAGACTCAGTCAGTATCATACTATAACCTGGATTGTGTTTATTTTAATAAACTGTTGAACTTTTCATTCTGTCTCTGTGGTGTTCTGCGTTTGGGTTTAGCTTCTAAAACCCAACATGACACCATCCCTCAGTCTCAGTCTATTTTCACTCACCCTGTGTATTATTCCACCAAGTCTCAGGTAATCTTTTTCCTAGGTAACCCATTCAAGTGGATGTTGAATCAAAGCCTTAGAGTCTCCAAGGGCCAAATAACTTATTTAATTTCTATCAATATTTGCACATCTGCTCCTATCTCCTTTAAACCCCTGTCAGTCTTGGCAGATGGATGCTCACACTGAGCCTGGTTCTGCTGGAGGTTTCTTCCTGTTAAAAGGGGTTTTCCTCTCCACTGTCACTACAAGCATGCTTGGTGTGAGGGATTGCAGACAGTCAACAAGTCAATGCAATCTGCTAGGTTTCCTTACATAGAAAACTCTGATGATCTGTCTGTGTATAAATAGATATAAACATGTATACATAAATTGATTAAAACTATTATTCTTGCATCTTTTCTCTATTTGAGTCTCTCCAGGTTGAAATTTCAATTATTGATTCATTATTTCCTTTTTTTCTAGTTTTAAATTCATCCATCCATCAATCTTCTCACACTTATTCTGTCAGGGTCGTGGTGGGGCCAGTGCGTCTATGGGTGAGAGACGGGATACACCCTGGACAGGTTTCCAGTCTGTCGCAGGGAAACACGGGACACACAAAGACATACAATCATGCACGCACTCTCACTAAGGACATTTAGAGATGCCAATTAGTATAACAGTCATGTTTTTGGACTATGGGAGGAAGCCGGAGTACCCACAGAGAACCGTCTCAGACACAGGGAGAATATGCAAACTCCATGCTGAAAGACCTCGGGCCGGCAATCAAACAAGAAACCTTCTTGCTGCAAGGCAGCAGTGCTACAAACTGCCCCAGCATGAAAACCTAGTTTTAAATCATAAAAAACTATTACCAACTATGATGATGTCACCTATAATCGTGCAGAGATGATAATTAATGGGTATTTAGTTTGTTAGTTGCTTTTGTATTGTTGGATGGATAAAGGCTTTGATTTGAACATGTCTTAAATTTTTTTCCCCAAAAGTTTGTTGATTAAAAAATATACTAAATGAAACTGATTGATTTATGAACATCGATTTTCAAGTAGCTAGCCGTTGTTACAATATTTTGAAGAAACAAGGTGGCAAAGTGGAAAGATGTACCATCCTGCTCTTGTGTTTGCCTGAAGAGCTTTCTTGCTATACTGTAAATTGCAATTGTCAGTTTGAAAAGCATTTATACAACTGTAGAGAGAAATGCATATTAATTCTTCAACAATTTATTCCTCTTCCATCAAACATAATGCACAGATCAGCAAAGCTATTACATACAAATTGCCATACAATAGCAGTTTTTTTTTTTCATGTTTGAGGGTTGATCGGTTTGTTTCATTTGCTGTTTTTTTCACTGTATCTCGGACATTTGAAGTTATGCTGCATAAAGCAACAAAATAGGAAATACCAACATTTTCAATCCATATTCAACTACTTTTACATCATCTATCCAGTCAGCTGACAGATTTCCACTCTAGTTAGACTATTGTATTACATACAATAAAGAAAAAGACAAACAAAGGTTTTGCATAGCTTAATTGTAATGTAGATACAGTACTTTAAGGCACTTCATATAGAATTCTAGGCATTTAATTTACCTTTTTGCCCCTGCTTTCTAGAAACGTCACTTTAATATGCAATGTTACAACATCTCAATAAAACTTTTCTTCAATCACATTTTTGCCCACTAAGTACATCTGCTATACCTCTCTGCTTTTCTTTTGGCATTAAGTCTCAGGTTCGACATTCATACATTGTGCATAATATTGACTGACACATTGTCTGATAACCCCACACACCCACAATTTTTCAAAAACACTATAAATAAATAATATTAAAAAAAAATAAATTGTGCAATAACTTGGGGTTATGTTGTTGAAAAGGCAACACACGTCTATAACATGTCCCAAATCTAAAACAGATCAAATACATCTGAGTAAGTCAGAGGTCTTTTTCTTTTTTCTGTACCAACATTGATGATCAACATGACCTCCTTCCATCTTAGTTTTTAATAAAAACATGGGTTGACTGTGTGTGTTGCATCGGTCTGGATGGAGGAGAGGAAAATCTGTCTCTCTATCCAAGCTGCTCTTCATACTGCTTCCGAAAGCAGTCTCCAGCTGGGAAGAAATCCCAGCAGCGCTCCTGATACATCTTCCACACGTAGGACTCCTAAATAACAAGCATAAACAGTTCAAAATAAAAACATTAAACAGCCAAATTGAATAAAATAACTTGAATTATTCATAAAACATATTTTGTTGTATTGTTTTTATAGCAACTTTCAGTAAGTGCTAAAGCTTTGTAGAGCGATAAAATCACACAAGAGGGACCAATTCTGTCTGACAGAAGAACATTTTCTTAACAAATTTAAAGTGGTTTTTTCTTCATATTCTCAGCATGTTGATATTAATGCTTCATAAGGTTAGGGTTAGACCTATAGCATGACAGGATATTTTGTTTAATGGGGAAGGTAGCCTTCAAACTAAGGGTGGATATCCTTAAAGGTATAGTGGAGGATTTTAGCAAATTTTTTGAAAGACTCGTCCTCTCCACTTAAAAGCAAAAATGCACATGCACAATCCTTTCCCAAGAGGGAACGTCTATTAAACGCGTACAAGAGCATGCACAAGCCCATTTCTCCTTGTACATGCTCTGTTTAAAAGTTGCTGTTTGCATCGCTCCTACAAGCTTACTTTCCAAAAGAATATTTGTAATTTTCCACTGTGTCAGACTCACCACCGGTAAGTGAAAATGTGGACGAGCATGTAGAAATGCCTTACGTAAACATATCACCAGAGTGATTGACAATTAGGAAGACCACTCGGAAAATGATCCACTCGGAAAAAGCAAATCCTCCACTATGCCTTTAAATTACCCTTAACAATACCAGACCATATGTTCTTTTGGCGCACTAATTCAGATGAATAAGAACTTTTGCTTAGAAGGCAACACACTATCATACGGAAATATATATATATTTGCAATTTAATTAATGTTGTGTCCACAAAAGAAAATAGAAAATGTTATCATATTGGCTAAAAGTCAAACACTGCGGATGGTCAAAGCTACTTATCTCCTGAATATAAATAATCTTTTAAAAATAAACTTCATCCATTATTAAATTGCTATTTTATATTCCAACCATTACAGTTGGTAGTGCAACCTTGTTGCTAAACACACAATATTTGCTCATATTTTTAATTGCAAAAGCCACAATTATTTATTCTCTCATTGAATCAAAAAGATGGAACAAAGAAAACAGCAAAATAATCAATCTCTGTAATAATATTATTCTGTGTGGTTTAAATAGATTATTAATTAAAAGTTTATTTACTAACAATGATCAACTCCTACCTACTGGTATATCTCATTTTGAAGGGTCATAAATGTTTTTTTTTTTTTGCCTTCTATATCAAAGAATTAAGTGAGACAGGCTGACAGCCTGTTAAATAATGAGGAAAAGAAGGAAAAGGGGGCAAGTGGGTCTCTTGTTGACAGTTTCCTATTGCAAATTACAGGAATATCTCAGCACGTTTGCTGCACTATTTTTCTCTATATTATTAACATGCAGCTTCCATTTGTTTTTTTAGATGGTAAAGTTCCACATTTATTTATCTCAGCTGCATGTTTGTCTTTGTGTAGCACCTAACTAACAAAGTAAATTGCTCATACACACGGAAATAGTGCTGGGGAAAATAGCTATTGCTTTTGTTGATTCAGAATTTTATTTTATGAAAGTCTCATTGTATAAGAAGATTCCTTACCTGGCCAGTGTGCTCCGTTTCATCCTTATTGATGAGGTACATCAGAAAAAACCTTGAAAACATTAAAACACTTTTACTTGGCAGTGTTATACATATTTACCATTATAAAATAGTATATAAATGGGGGAGAGCGCAAATGCATGGTTCACAATTATATCTGCCTGATGACAAACAACAGTTTTTCTTTCTGGAAACTGAAATTTTGATGCAAGAGACTCAAAGCAACACAACTCCATTTCCATACCCAAATCCCCTGCTGCTTCCAAAATCAGGTATAAATGGCAACCGGCCACTGTATCTCTGTGGGCGTTGAAGCATGCCGGGTTATAATGAATACTGCATGAGAGCACTATCCCAAACCTATTTTACGATAAAGTTCATAGCATTAAATAGTAATGAGCCGGGATAATGAGGCTGTCTGGGATCCACTGGCTAACTGACTGAGAGCAAATGGACTGAGACTTTCTGTTGCTGCTGGTGCAATGCAGAAACATTGGCTAAACAGAGATACCAGAGGAAGCTCACAGGCGGAGAGAACTTGATCTGAAGCTATTAGTGACTTTGGTCCATCTGGGGTAATGTTCTAAATCTTTTAATGAAAAGATTACATAACAGAAGCAACATATATTGGGGAGGAAATAAGCCCAGTCATAACCACTTAGAATTGTACTTACAGGTAGTTGGCCAAATTGTGCTCTTGCAAGGTGTGGGTCTCGAAGCCGTGAGGCGTTGTGTCAAAGTAGTCATTACCAATGCCACAAATGAAACATTTTGTCTGAGGGCAGAAGATTAGAACGTACTTGTTGGATTTGTTTGACTTTGGCCTGAGGAAATAGACTATGCTGTAACAATTCTTTGATTTAATTTTTCATTTAATTCCATATTTTTGTGGAATAATTATATGACTTCAACTGTCAGCACCTGAGGGATGTCTTATGGGAAACTAGGGACTTTTCTAAAACTTAGAAAATGTGATTAATCTATTATGCATATGATACCTAAACATAAGAATATGTATTGATGAAGAAAATCCATCAGATTCACATATAATTATTTTTAATCCTTGAAACTGAGCCAAATTCTCATTTAAATGTCCACATAAATGAGAGAAAATGTATTTTCACCTCCATGTCCTCTTTGACTTGTTCCTGCTGATCTCTTAGTTCTCCAAAGGCATCAATGATCAAACCTGCATCCACAAAAAGATGATATGGGTACAAATAAACAGTACCTTGCAAAAGTATTTTAAAACTGTTACACTTGATTTTGCTGCTGCAGCATCGCTAAATTGTGCAGCTCTTATTTCCCAACATCCATGATTAACCCTAAAATTGACATTGCACAAAATGTAAACGAGACATCAGTTCTTATCTTTGTGAAAAAGGCCACTTTAGCATGTATTTAACAATTCTGGTCCTTTGATAAAGACTTAATGTCATACATCACAAACCTACCCTGAATGATAGCCAACAGGATTACGATGACAAAGAAGAAGAAGGTAATATCAAATAGGATGCGGTAGAGCTCATATGGGTCGCCTGCTGGGTCTTCAATTTCGTCCCCAATGCCACCTCCCGCTCTCACCCCAACATACATGTGGAACAGGTAGCACTATGAAAAAAAAATGGAGATGTGCTCTTAGTTGGCCATTGAGACACAAGTTTAGTTGGAGCACACACAATTAAATCACAACTTCTGTTCACCGTCATCATGTCATCACACTTCATGTCCGGTTCATCATCATCTGCACTCTTGTTGTAAAACTTCCTGAAGAAGTTAAAGGCCACCACAGTGTAGAGATAGACAACGACTGCCAGCAGGCCGACTGTCAACACCAGCTGCAGAGGAAAATATGGAGCAGAAATTAAAAAACATGATTGTTCTGTTTTTACATCCTTTAGTTAGAAGCATAATTAGCGCAGCAGAGGCAGATTAGACAGTCCCCATTTGTTCTTTTTAACAAGGAGCACAGCAGGATATCTCTGACTAAAGGAAGAACAGGTGAGATTAAAAGAGCTGCAGTATGTATTTGTCTGCAAAAAAGATCATTTCAAACAAAACAAAAATTATATTTTTACATCTCATGAAAAATCCAATTAATATGGCTGAAAATCCAAATTGTTTTCACCTTAAAAGAAAAAACAAGAACAAAGAAAGGTGCAAATGATTACACTAAGACATGGATATGATTGATTGATATACCCGTAGGCCTATGACTTTGAAAATTGTCCGCAGTTCTAGGAGACCTTAACGTTTTAAAATTTATTCTCACCTCAGAGACTTTAATGAAATTGAAGTTTGATTTTTGCCTCTGGTCATTTTACAGTTGCCGACCAGATTGTAAGAAGATTCTAATGAAGAGGCTGGAGCCATTGGAGCTTTACTCCCTAATCATTCTCACTGCAGATTTTCCTGAATGTATTTCAAGCCGGTCTAGTAAAAAGGTGCATACACTCTTTAAGAATGTGTTAAATAATAAATATACAAGAAAAGTTCATGTTGAAGCATAATAGCTAAGTAGTGCATATATTATTTCAGCCCGAAAATATTAAGCGTTTTAAAATTCTTGAAGTCATCAACAGATAGATCTAAATTATTTAAACTTTTTGTTGATAAAGGAAGTTTTATTGACTTTAGATGATTGAATACATTTCATTTCTGTTCGTTTTTTACATCAGTGCTTCAGACGTTTTTCCAGATTATTTTGTGACACCTGGGTCACCACTAAATGCTCTTTCGCTCTAATTTTGGAACGGTCACTTCTGGGAAGTTTAATCTTAATCACTGTTCCTTGTTTTCTATCTGTGGTTTTCTAACCCCTTGCTCACACTGGCTCCGGTGCGGTTACCGAGCCGACGAAGACCGCAACTCCTGCACACCCCCTCGCCCTTTTGACTACGGTGCGGTGCGGCTCTGCGGCTCCGGCAACAGGTCCGGAGATTTAACGCGCGAGAAGAAGTTCACTTGAGTTCACATAACTTCACGCGATAACACGGCCCATATAAGGATATTTGCGAGAGCTTGTTGCGGAGGGCTCCGGCACGCCGCAAGGATAGCTTTCTTGCTGAATTTTCTGCAGCGCCGGAGTGTCTCGGTAACCGCAGCCGGACAACTCAGCAGCCGGTGAGAGAGGTTTACGTCTTTTTAATGACTTGGAATCACTGCGGCGCTGCACCCACCGCACCGCAACGGCAAGACCAGAGTCGGTGTGAGCCTGGGGTAAAGACTCAAAGCTGCAAACAAAATCATTGCATTCCTTTCCAGACTAAAATTGTCATTGCTTCTCATACTGTCTGTTAGTTTTGTAAATTGAGGGCAACCTTCGAGGGCTGCTGTCCTGCAGGTTTTAGAGGTTTCTCTGCTTTAGCATTGCTGATTTGACGATTGCAGTTCAGCAAAAGCCTTTTAATCAACTATCAATGTAAATCAGCTGTGCTGGAGCAGGGAAACCTATAAAACCTGCAGGGCAGCGACCCCCGAGGACCGACTTTGATAATGCCTGTATTAGAGTGAATATAATTGTTAAATAGTTTTGTAGTTAAATAAGTGACCTCTACTTATTAAGCACCTTCTGTGATTGGGCTCCAAAGCACTTTAGACTGCAGACACTGAGATGTATACTGATCATGATCAGCTATAGCAGCACAGCTGCCTTGGGGCTCACTGACAGAAGCAAGGCTGCTGTACACAGGGACCACCAGGCCCTCTGACCACCACCAGTAGGCAGTGTGGGTGAAATGTCTTGTCCAAGTACATAACAACTGTGATGGGTGAAGCTGGGGTTCATACTGGCTAACCTTCAATTACAGGATGAACTACTGTGTCCAACACCACTGTCGCCTTCAGTGTCTAATGTATTGATCCCACAGGACTGGAGCTGATAAGGTTTGGTTGCAGTGGCCGAAATAATTTGGATAGCTTTTTCACATAAAGACATAAAATCATAATTTGAAAACTGTTTTATATTTATTTAGGATATCTATGTCCAAAGTTAAGAATTTCTGTGGTAAACTTAAGTGGAATAAAAAGTAAAAAGCAGAATAATTTTAGCATAGTAATTCAAAAGTGGTGTGATTGAATTTAAATTATTATTTAAAATACATAGATTGATTTACAAAGCAAAACATCTACATTATTTTTGAAATAAGATTTTAAAAAATAAGGTGTTATTAAAGCAATTAGTTTAAGGTAGTGATCAAACCTTCTTTACTTTATCATGTGTTTTTTAATTGCTTTTGTTCTGCTTTTCTGTGGTCCATTTGATTTCTTTGTTTAACAAATATTTTTGCTTTTATTCTGTTTTTATTTATCTTCTATTTTATTATCTAATTCATGTAAAACACATTGATTTGTCGATGTACTGAATAGTGCTATACAAATAAAATTGCTTTGCTGTGTAATTTTCTGTCACCAGTGAGGAAAAATAATCTCTACCATGTGGGTAAGATACAACCCAGGAAACAAATTTAATTCCTTGGGTTAAGAATCCAAAATCTGCCTGGCACAGTCTACAACCTTAATCTTCAACTCTGCAGTGACCCCTGCTGTTTAGAAGACTTGCTTCCACCTTACCTGTTTGCCATTATGGGTAACAGAGGAGAGGATTGTGCGCAGGGTCTTGAAACCCATAGCAATGTCCAGCAGATGAGCAGCAAAGAAGAAGTTGTTGTAGTGCCCCAGAATGGACATTGTGGTGTACCAAACTAGATACAGGAATGACTATTGCAGAGACAGATCAGAATCAATTAGAAAATGACAGTAAAAAAAATGAAAACATATTACCAATGATTAATCATGGTTTTATGTCAAACTTACGTTGTCTGTAAACACCACCCCCATTTTCCAGACATGATATTTTGTATCGATGGAGCTCAGCCTGAAAAAAAAAAAAAAAAAAAAAAACACCAACACTGACATAAAACGTGCACATTTTCTGTTTGCCCTCTATTTTTGCACATGCAGTTCCAGCCTTGTGGCTATTTATTGCTCCAATACCACACCATGACAGCAGCGATGCCTCCTTGGCAACAGTTTCCTCTGTAGGGTTGAAATCGAGAGCACTCTTGTCCAACCCCAGCAGTTCTGCAATCCTCTCTGCTCCATAGAGATCCCCATACTTTTTTATCACCTGCAAACCAGTCACAAAAAAAGAGAGAAAGAACCGTGATGGGTATATCTGTTAGATTGCTAAAATTACAGTTTTAAGCAAAAAAATAAAATAAATAAATAAATAAATACATTAAATAGCTTACTTTGCGTTTGACAAATTTATCCCAGTAGTTGTTGGGAAAGGAGCTGAAGAAATCCAGAAAAAAAACACATTACATTTAAAGCATTAAACAATTAAATCTTAGAAAAACATAACAGTTAGGGACTTACGGAGTATTAATGACGAGTCTGTCCCACTGTCCTTTAATGTCATCATCAGACGGTTGTTCAGTGATATAGAGGCCTGCAAACTCCAACTTCCTCGCAATCTCCTTTTCCCGCTTGAACACCACCAATGGCACCTTACACAAAAACATAGAGATCCAAGTTAAGATAAAAAGTTTTTAAACATAAGTACCAGTTATGTCAGAATATACATTTAGAAACGAGTATTCAGCATCCGTAAATAGCAGCTGTTTTTTGCTATAGCAATAAGGAATAATAAATTGTATTTCTGCATGTTTAAAACCACAAAATCAAAATATCATGATGGTTTTAGTTCAGTTTCATATGATTCTTCAGTTTTTGTGGACTGAGGAGCCATATGATTCATGTGGTAACTTTTTATTGATGGAAATAGTTTTATTGCATGAAAAGTAGTTTACTTTTCAGTTCTATCATACAATCCACTTTAGACAAGCACTAATTGGCGATTACCAAATAGTCAGCATCCATAATTCGAATCAAGGCTTTATTTACAAAATGCAAACTAAGTATTCTCTAATACAGGCATCCCCAAATTCGGTCCTCAAGGCCCCCTGTCCTGCAGGTTTTAGAGGTTTCTCTGCTTCAGCACAGCTGGTTATAATGATTGCAGTAGACTAAAACCCTGTTAATCAGCTTTCAATTAAAATCAGCTGTGCTGGAGCAAGGAAACCTCTAAAACCTGCAGGACAGGGGGCCTTGAGGACTGAGTTTGGGGATGCCTGCTCTAATAAATCATATTTGAAAAATTTATTTAATATTCAAATTTCTTAAAATCCTAAATATAAATATATGAAAATATAAAATTATAAAAATTACGAATATATTGACATTTTTTTGTGTGCAAAAACTGCTTTACAGTAGATGCCATTCAAAATGACCCCACTTTTCTTAATGGGTCCTTGGCTGGTCCCCTACAATTCCTTTTTAAACATCAATCTCTGTCATGATTTGTGGGCATTAAGATCTAAAGAGAAGCGTCATCTCTTGATCAGACCCTGTATTTCAGTGAAAGGGTGGAGTCATAGTAATAAAATATACAAGAGGGGTCACCCCAGTGGCTGGAATTTAGAGGGGATTTTGCTGGCCGTTGCTGGGAAGTGGGCTGCCATTTGACTGGGAAGGGCCATTTTGAATGGCTGCTAGTGCCACTAATAACTGGTAGTTATTAGGTAGATGTTCATTTGAGTTTGGTAAAGTCAGAAATTGCATTAATTGTTTAAAAACATGGTCAAGAATTGTAAACATATATTACACAGAAGCAACTCTACTGAATGATGCTGAAGTGAATGAAACTTGTTTCCTCAAAGGGACTGAGAGACCACTACTGTTCCTGTTCCAGTGCAAACCTTACAGTATGGCAGCAAACAGCTCAGTAAACAAGCGATTTTTAATAATGCCCTCTCCCATTTAATGCTGTACCTTCAAATAATAGTATCCAACAACACACAGGAAGGATATGATGGTATGCAGGATTGCTAAACAACAAAGGGTTGGTGCCATGTAACCAGTGCTTTCCTGCAGAACAAAGTACTCAAGCGCTCCTTCATCCTCCTCCTCTCCCACTCTGCCTCTTCGATTCCAGGGGTCTTCATCCTCTGAGTAATCACCAGTCACCTAAAAGACAAACTGATTAATGCTGAACACAGAAAACAAGGTCAAACCCTCAATTTAAGTATAAGGATGGTTAAAAAGAGTACCTTGTAGAAGAGCAGTATGAAGTTGATTGCAAAAGCAACAAAAAGTGCCAGGAAGCGTAAGTTGTAGAAATTCCGAGCCAAATAGTTCTAGGAAAATATGGAGATTAAATTTATTATACAATCTGCCGTTTAAGACAGCAATATGTGAGGGAATGTCACAAATTGTTTGGTATTCACTTGCAGATCATATTGGAAAAAAAAAAAAAAAAGATTGTGAGAGCATGATCTGCAAACTGAATAATGGGACTTTTTTAGGATAAATATCTGACCAGTATCTTAGTCTGGTAGATTTCTAAGCCAGCCAGAAAGCTGGCCATAAAGGCCTTCGGCGGTTCTTTCCTCAGGCCAAGCCTCTTCTTTGGAGCTCTCCTCTCCTCTGCAGAAGGCTGTGGAGGAGCTTCATCCTTGGCCTTGTCATGGTCCTTTTTCTCACCATCCTCTGAACTGTAGACATAAATTCCTTTAGTTACAGTGTGTACAGTCTGCAAAAAGTATTTAAAGATAAAGTGCAAGCAAAAGTGTATGTAGGCATACAAATACATATTTGTACTTATTATAATTTATACTCACTCTCCCTTCTCAGAGTCTGATTTGTAGTCTCCATTTGATGACTTCTTTGCAGCCATCTGTTAAGGAATAAGGTATACAAAATAAGACATATGGGTATTTTTTGCAGAGCTTTGCAAAAAAAAAAAATTCATATCCTTTAATGTTTTAGCATTTTGTCACATTAAAACCACAAACTTTGCGATTTGTCAAAAACAACGACTGATTAAGAACTGTAACAGCAAGAAAAATAAAAGAGTTCTTGTGTATTTTTCATGCATTTAGGCATGCATTCATCATTCAATCATTTGCAATTGGTTTATTTATAATACAGACACATTTATGTGTATAATTATGAAGTTAAAAAAAAAGAAAAAATGGTCATATGAAACGTACTGTATGTCCACATGTAATCAGCATCCCTTACTTAACACTTTAACACAACCTGTTGTTGCTCTCATTAGTCTTTTTTAACACATGAATCCCCTAGAGAACATTGATGTGTTCTCTAGGGGTTTAGTACAGACACAATATACTGTAGGGCCTACAGCCTATTGTGTATGTATGTTTATAGCCTTTGCCCAATTGGAAAGTGAACCTCTTGCCGAGACTTTAGCAGCCTAAAAAGTATTTTATCCATGTTTCCATTGACTATGTCCAGCTTCCCTGACTCTGCTGACCCTGGTGGTAGCAGCAACCCAACAGCTGCTTTGCTGCTACCACCATGTTACAATGTGAGAGTAAAAGCTGGCTCTTCCCACTCAGACCTAGAATTTAGGCTCTTTCTTGATAGGTTTTCTGGATGGCCATCTTATTTTTAGATGGCTATTGCTTGAAAAGGCTTGAAAAGTGCTTATAGTTGAATGATTTTATAATAAAATCCTGTTTTAAATTTCTTTAAAAATGTTATAGGTGAACTCTCTGCTGTGTTCATTAATCTTTATGGTGCTGATAGATCACCAATAACAAACCTCTAGCACAATACTGTTCCAACATCTTGCCAAATGGTCCAAAAGGTCAAAAGTAAATGTGAGCCACAAGATATGAAATAATAAAAAAGAAATCATTATTAAATGGTGAATACTTTATTATGTATTTGACTTTTTTCAGTAAGATTCAAATCCATCAGTAAAAACAAAGTTCAAATAAATAAAGCTTCATTTGCATCAATTTTAATCAATGTGTCATTTTCTTCCACTTGAAAACATAGCTAAATTTTATGTCGGTCTTAAAATATTTTCAGTAAAACAGACTTCATGGTTCTAACCTGCAAAAAAAAAAAACAACAACCAACAAACCAGGAAGTAGTTTTACAAACCTGTGCTTTCTTCTGTCTGACAGCACTGGCTATTGATGGAGCATCTCCTACCACCACCTCCGATACGTCCCCCAAACCTGGCTCGGCCCCATGCTTGCCTTCCCTCTTAGGCTGTATGTTGAGAAGCTCGGCCATCAGGTCAGCCTCTGCTGCATCGCCCTGAGCCATCTGACCCATCTCCTCCAAGGCTGAGGCATCGTTGGCTTCCATCTTTTCTGTTTCCAGCACATCTCCATGGATCCCAAACTGAGTTGGGTCTGGCATGTTTCCTAAAATATCTGTCACCTTCATGTTCTTAGCCCCTTCAACCAGACCACCGCCAAACATAGTGGTCCACAATATGTGGAAGAAACCCCAAACCAGGCTGTAGATAAAGTGGAAGAGACCAGTGATGATCATCCAGAAAAATGAGAAGAAACCCCTCACCATCTCCCTTAAACTCATCTTTCTGAATCTCCTGTATTGACGCCTCATGCTCTTCAGAGTGAGTAACTGTTGAAAGTGACATAGGCTTTTTCGCATTGAGATGCAGGCAATTGTAAATGCAGAGGAAGACTCCATCATGACATTCTCTTCTTCTTCCTCTTCTTGGTTCTCCACCACACTCTGGCTCTCATCCTCATTTTCATCTGAACGCTCAACAGGATCTGGCTCAGAAATCTGAGAAGCAAGCTGCATCTCAAAGATGGTGTCCTCACAGAAGTTGACAAACAGCTCCATCTTCTCGCTCTCCCCGCCTTCATTGACCACATCAAATATGAATTGCCTTTTTGACTCTTTCACTTGAGGCTTCTCCCACTGCGTACGACTTGACTCACTAATCTCAAAGTAGACTCTCTCAATGCGCTTGGCTCCACCCATGATCTCAATGCGACCCAAGAATGGCTCAAAGTAGCTGAGTACGCTTTCAGCCAGGTTAAGGAACGTCGACAGACGGGAGTCGTGGGGCATGTGCTCTGAGAGGTTGGTGAGCAGCACTGCTACATTAAAGCCAATGTCCTTTGCTGGTTCATGAAATCTCTCCACAAATTGCTTGTAGCTGAACATGTCATTCTCATCTGCTTCAGCACAGGAGAGAAGAAACTCAATCTCAGACTGAGAGTATTGCTTCTGGTTCTCCATGGACTTCTGGAAATCTTTCTTAGAGATGACCCCTTTACTATCAGAGTCATACTCCTTAAAGCTGTCTGAAGTCGTCAAGTCCTTCAGCTTGAGAAACATGTCGAAAAATTTCAGGATCATCTCAACATTGCTTGAAGATTCCACCAAGGTGTCCACCATCTGTTTGCCAATAGTTCCGTTGACAACATTACCTGTGACAACAAGGTGATTCATTAAGAAAATGTTTTAACAGGATAAAGGTTTAGTGCCAAACTTTTTCAACCTTTTTTTAAGATTATAAACAGAAATAATGATGTATTTACTAAGGATTGAATATAAAAGACCATAAAGTGCAAATAATTTTTATTATTAATTACATATAAATATCTAAACCAATTGTTGGTAGTATGTCTCCACTAGCTTTGGATCTCTAGCGCCTGAAAACTGGACCAAATCTCTTTCGTAAGTTAGCAACAATAAGACGTTATGGAGAGCAATTGTAAACATATATTTCTTAACCTTGCCACAGATTATAAACAAAGTTTAAGTCTAGATTTCGCAAGGTTTGATCAAGAGGTTTGACTTTTTCTTTGTTTCTACCACCATGTTCTATTGTGGTTATTATGAGTGGCTCGTAGTAGTATACATTGTTCACTTTTTTTAGAATGGAGACAAAAAAGTTACATTTGAACTTATCTACCAAAGTGCACTCCACAAAAAGTTTGTTGAAAATCACAAAAGGCTTGTCGCCAATTTTATTTATAGTTTTATTTTTCAAGCAATGGCTTTTCTAAAAGTGATTATTTCAGGTTAGCGGAGTGTTCAACAGCCAGTTTTCCTGTGGTTTTCCATTAGCTGTGGATCTCTGCATCACCCCAGAGGTACAGTATCTTTGGAGGTTGGCAGGTGTGCAAACAGTGTTCGAATATACAATTTAAAATTGCAGTGTAAGCTTGGGCTATTGTTTGAAAGCCTAACCCTTCTTTATCAGTGACATGTCTGCTGAGTTTCTTAGGCTTCATTATGCAGTTTTGTTCCACTTTAACAAACCTGCAATCTCTTTACAGAATCAATAAAATTAGGTAAGTAGCTTCTAGAGATCACTCAGATTTTTAATTATTCGGAGATTTTGTGGGGCATGTTTTATCATCCTTCCCAGATAATACATTGCTTTGAGCTGAGATTTGAGGATATAACTTGGCAAAATATGAGAAGATCCAAGTGGTATGGATATTTTAGTAAGGTTTGGTTGATTTAACTGTCAAGTATATGTTTTTCTGTTTTAAAATCATGAAATGAACAAACCTTCGAGAAGAGAAAGCATCATGACAATCATGTCCTTCTGCAGGTCCAGGAGCTCCTTCAGTACTTCAATCTGACTGGAGTCCTGTTAGGAAAAGAGAATAACCGAGGATATCCCTCAGGCCACTGACAACCTTCCTGTAAGGATTGTTTTGCTCTCTTTAATAACCCTGAGCTGCATTTTAACTGCTGAAGGCTGCTTCAGATTCCACTGAGGGCCAGACGGTCCCTCAACTCAACATCCATCCGTCATCACAAGGGTTGATGTCGTTTCCCCATTCAAGAGCAGATGGTGGGGTCACTCTGAGTCATTCAGTCTCTCTGGATTTTGTATTAACCATCCCATAAATATCAACCTTTCTTTGATAGTTAAATTTAGTTACTTCACCTGTGTTCTGCAACATCCTTGCATCTACTGTCAGACCAAAAGACTTTGAGATGATTAAAGAAGGTCAGACATTAATTAGCTAAATTAGCTGATATGTGATTCTACTGCAGTACCACAATGATATTGTTGGGGCTGGAGCGACCTCTAGTGGTATAACAGAAAAAATACATTAATACTGTTTATATTGTTTTTTGTATTATAATTGCATCAGTGGTTCCATAGAAGCAATTATTCAAGCATTTCCTTTAGGATTTTGAAAATTGCATACATCCATATACATACATCTACAGACACATGCTTACAATAGACAATGCAATTAACAGATATTAATATGTGAACTTCAGAATAACCTTCATGTTGTTCTAGGGGGACTTTTTATAAAATGACTACTTCTCATTCTGTGAATTATATCTATAAAGATGTTAGGTGTCCCTCTGTAAAGTGGAAAAAAAACAGAATAACGCTCTAGGAAGAGATTGTCAAATGCACAACTGAAAACAATCAGAAGATTTCAAAGAAGAATGGGAAATCTCATCACCTCTGACACATTCAAATTACCTGGGATAACTTCATCTGCATGTTGGCGAAAACATGCAAAAAGCCCACAACTGCATCCCAAAGCCTGCTGTGAGCCAGACTCTGCTGATTACCTATGCATGGACCCTGTAAGCACAAAGCATGTAAAGATGATGCAAAGAAAAGAGAGGCATTGCCAATAGTAAAGTAGTGTACTTTGAATAGATTACCTGTATATACTCTGTTAAAGAGTTGAAGACCTGTTTGGCGACCGATAGCGCTTTAGAGAAATTCCTCTGGCCAGCTTCGTCAATGACCTCTTTACCAGAATAGTACCAGTAGAAATCACTGATCGATTCCTAAAAGAGGAGCTTATAAGTGATTGATCATTTGATAAAAGGAATGCGGGATTATGCAATAATGTGCTACCTGTAGTCTTAGCAGGTAATCGACTGTGCTGATGATGATATTGACTGTGGTTGTATTCCCAGTCTGGGTCCTCAGGAAATTTTGAAAATCTAGGAAAAACATGGTAGAACATTAATTATATGTTCCTCAGCCTTCTACATATTTTCTTACATTCATCTCTCCAATAACTCTACTTTAGTGCCCTATCCTGGCAAAAAAAAAACACACCAGAAAAAATTATACTTCCACCTCCTTGTTTGTGGCCGTGGTGGTGGTGTCAGTTTTTTTGTTTTCTTTTAAGAAAATAACAATAACTTCTTTGATGTATATTGCAGTTTTATCCGAGATTAGAATGGGCCTCTGTCAGTTTTTTAGATGATCGATTTAAAAGTGCTCTATAATAACTGCTGGATTATTTTGTCTCAATGATCATGTTTTCATTTTGTTAATGTTTTTAAACCTCAGAGAGATGTATTTTAAGGAAATTAGAGTAAAATTGGGATGCACATTGACACAGTTGGTAGCACTGCTTTCTAAATGGAGTTTGCATTGTCTCCCTGTGCATGCGTAGGTTCTCTCTGGGTACTCCGGCTTCCTTTCATAGTCCAAAAACATGACGGTTAGGTTAATTGGCTTGTCTAAATTCTCCTTAGGTGTTAGTGTGTTAATGGTTGTTTGTCTCTGTGTTGACTGGCGACCTGTCCAGGGTGTACCCCACCTGTCATGATGGGAAATGGATGGATGCAGTAGAATCAATTAAAATAATAGCCAAGCTACCGTTTAAGTGTTTCTATTCTAAAAATTGGATACCATATATATTTGTCATGTAAGCACTACTGTGTGTTGGTCTATCAATCATTAAACTGAACATATTTAAACATACAATAGTGAAAAAGCATTTGAAAATATTTGAGTAGTATAAATATTTTTTATACTTCAACTTTATACTTATACTTTATACTTCTTTTTACCCTGATTCGATAATCTAAAACACATAAAGATTGGACTTTAACTAATATAGTTTTAATCTTTATACTTTAATATAGCCTCAATAATAGATATTTGAAAAGCCCACCTACCATTGTTATGACCCTCACAAAGAAGTTGCAGAAACCTAAAAAGATCCTTGGTGAACTCATCATTTTGTAGAACCTTGGAACCTGAGAACAACACATTAAATGATCTTTTTAATTATGAAACAATGAGAGATTTTATATTTACAGGCACAGAGGCTTTCTTAACTTTTGCCTCCTCATATAGCAGCTGTCTTTTTGTCAGACAACCATTATTCTTGTGCACTAGGTTAGTCAGAGCACACACACACGGTCAAGTGCATCAGTTCAAAAATGAAAGCAATACAGGAAGAGAACTGAGCTTTGATGCTCATACCAACAAAGCTTTAATAAGAGACTTAACTCATAATCCACGCTGGTTATTACTGTAATGATCTTAAAAAATAAATAAAGGTCCCCAAAGAAAAGAGCAAGCACTTACTTCTTCTAAAAGAAATAACAAAATAAAATGATGTGTTCAGTTTTAGGAACCTCAATCCAAGAGGTAAAAAAGCATGCATTAGTTTACTCAGTCCAGGGTTCAAATACGGAGATTCATTCATTCATTCATAAAAAAAAGGAGGAGGAAATAGGAAATGGGAGGAAATAAAGAAGGGAAGAAAAGGGGGACTATAGCAGTCAAGAAGTAAGCACAGCATACAATGAGTAGAATCTAAACCATGTATTTACCCCGCTCACTCACGTTGACTGGGACCGATGACATAAAAACATGATCAGAAGGAAACAAACAAACAAAACAAAGGCAGACATAAGCAAAGGAGAAGACATTGAGATTTTATCAGAAGAGATAGGAACAGGCGAAAAATTATAGGACTATAGATATATATAATTTAACATACACTGATCAGTAAGACTGACATACAGTAAAAAAAATATTACAATCTTAAAGTACATGTTGCAAACTGGGGTTTAGACAAGAAACAGTAACCATCACTTATGCCTGGTCTTATGAAGTGAAAATGATTTATGCATGTTTAAAAAAAGATTATCATACTGTATGCAATCCATTGGTTTTTATAGAAACATTAGCTGTTGATGTGTTTGTGTTTTTTAGGACTCAGACAGGACTTTGACATACAGTAACACAGGTTTGTTTGCAGGATGACATGACAACAAGAAACAGATGACATGGAGATGGACTGGAGCAAAAGAGCAAATGTCCTTGCAAACTAATCCTGCCGTGTTTGTTTTGCAGTAATCTTGGAAACCATTATGGGTCATAATAAAGCCTTGCACGTGAAAATAAAGAGAGGTTTACTTGATTACTGAAGTATTGACTGGGCTAAAGCAGACTGAGTGAGACACTTTTTACACACAGTATCACTAAACAATTGAAAATCCCATCTGTTACTGAAATAAAACACAGCTTTTATTAACTGAATTTTATGAGGATTTCTATGAAGAAACTGATATGATAGGAGTCCTTGTGCTTATATAGAAAAAAAAAATTACTTGCTAAACTAGTACTATTTAGGCAACATTATAGCTCTTATAATGCTGACAGAATTGATTTATAGGTAATTTCCTTGCAAATATTTAAATGTCTTCAATGTCCTGTTTAAAAAAACTTTTAATGAACTAACAATCCTCCAGAGGAGGAAAATCAGCCTGTTACAATGTTCAAGAGGATTTAGGATTGCAATAACGTAATTTACCACCTTTATCAGCCTCACTTACTTGATCCCTCTTCAGTTACCATTCCCAGGCCTTCAGCTTTGTTTTGCCTTTCAAAGGCATTTAAATCCAAGACACTGCAATGAAGAAAATATGCAGATTAAACTTTAAAGCACAGAACTTCAGTTTATCTCTGTTTTAACATAAAAAAAACGTACTTTTTAGCTTCTACAAGATTGATCAAGAAAAGGAAAGGGAAATGCCAATAAACTCAATTTAAAGTCTTTCAAATCCAACAGAGCTTTTAGGACCGATTTATGGTGCCCGAATTTTCTGTTTGGAATTGTTTAAGTATTTTAATAGTTATTACTCTTCCTCGTGTAGTAAATCCGATATTTTAATTGTTAGCTTAGTTAAAACAAAAAGTAAACTACTGTACATATTAAGCTGTTATTTGAATCATTGTATTTCCATTACCTGCATGACATCATCAGTCCAGACAAACTTTTAAAAAACCCCACATCTCTTTTTTCCTTCAGATAATCCAGCATTTTCTATATAAAAAATAAAAGCCAGGTTAGTTATTAAAAAGAGGTTGTTAAAAAAGTCAGTTTAAAAAAACGCTGCCTACTTGCTGGACCAGGATGTTTCCACCATTGAGAATGGAGATTCCCAGTTTGAGGGTGAAGGTCACAGTTGCACCAAGCCGACCTGCAATGATACATAATTGAATATAATTTGACAAATAGCTTCTGCAGGACAGATCACAGGTTTGTCTGTCTCACGGCTACCTTTGCTGGCACTAATCATTTGGAGAACCATCTCTGCTGCTCCTCGATCATGCAGTCGGGCTTGCTGATACAGCATCTTTTGTTTCTCCATTTCCTTTTCCTACAATAAATCAATTTGTCTAAAATACTTGAACTGATGAAGAACATGAGAGATACAAATCCATGCTCCCTAAATAATTATAATACCTCAAATGTTTTCTCTTTTCCTTCCTCTTCCTCTTCACCTTCAGCACAACTCTGAAATGGAAGGAACAGATTAACCTTGCATTCTTTGCAAAGCAGCTTAAAAATGCAGGAAATATTGTACCTTTGCCATCATATCAGCATATGCAATATACAAGGGATCCTCTTCCAATGAACTAAAATAAAATAAAAATTATGATTAGATTTTTAACATCTGACATATTATTATTTCTGTAACTTGCTTGAACAACATTAATTAGGTCTTTCATTTCATTCTATAAAATATGGCAATTCACACCAAATTCCCTAATTATTATTTGTGAAGAGAGCCAAAGCAATTAAGCATCACATATGGAGCGGCCTGTACCAGTGCCAGGTGGCGAGGTGTGAGTCTGAGTGTGTTTTCACCTGCATTCAGTCAAAGCGTTGTGGCTGAAATGAAGGATGAGCTGGTGTAAAGGATCCGGTTGCTTTCGGATTTCCTCCTCTTCCTCTTCTTCCACTTTAGGCTGTGTTTTCTGCATAAAGGGAGCACATCCTCACTGTAGTCCAGACTGATACTTCAAAGCTCGGCCATACAGCCAAAACCAGCTGTGGAAGAATTAACGCTATAAGCCATATCTCAACAGAACATTGGATTACAGTACATGCACATACATTAGAGACCACATGCTCAAAAATAAGGACAGGGATGTATTAAACACAAAATTTGGCAGCAATTCTTTTACTTGTGGCAGTGCTAAATGGGGAGTTTAGCATGACACCCTTGTTACATCGATTTAAAAATATAAATACTGAGTTCATTTATTGGGTTTGATACTTTTACTGAAGTACATCAAAGTTTTGAATAGTCATTAAACATCTGGAAATTTCTAAGATAATAATTTGGCAGCGTAGAATCCCTTTAAAATGCTGTAAAAGAAAACCGAAGAATAAACTATTGTAACTCAGTGCATCTCTGTGCACTACTGGTCAGATGGCTGAAAAAGGCACTACAGTATTTATCAACAAAAGGCTACACTCCAGCTACAACTATTTAGCTTTAGAAAACAATTAGTTGTTGGAAAAAATGGGCATACAGTATGCGAGCAAGTAGAAGTAAAATAACTTTTACTATAGAAATTTAGCTCTAATGAGCCTTTTAAAAACTAGAGTTGCCATGGAATTAGCAAATAGCTTAATTAGCACAATAAAGTTGTACAGTAAGATCTTATAAAGAGTAGAAGCGCAAAAAGAGATACTATTTGTACATCAAGTATTTGAAGCTAATACGAAATTTAGCTTTCATATTTTTTAGTGGTTCAATCACTTTCCCTATGATGCTTACAAAAATTTTGTGGAACTATAGAATATATAATTGTTGTGTCTGATTTTGAGCTTTAACTGCCAAATAATAAATTATGGATGATGATTTATTGATCAAAAAAGAAAAAAAGACAATAACTTTTCATTTGTGCCAGTAAGTTGAAGCATTCACGGGATGCTTTCTTACCTGTGTTTAAAAGATCACATGAAGTGGCCCTGACAGCAGGAGAGATGCTATGCTTACCTGGAATGCACCTTTACTACACGGTAACCCAGTGTGACTCAGTTACAGAGAGTGACAATGGCATGTAATCTGACAAGATGGGGACTGTTGCATATAAACCATGCACTGCTCATAGGAACCGATATGAGGAAAACTGGGGTTGGTTGGAGGCAGGACTACTTACTGCAAGGTCCTGCACCAGCTTCTCCTCAAAAGAGTACTCCTCTGTTTCTATCCATATGCTTTGATATGCCAGAAGGAAGAGGTTAATAGAGCGATGCCTAGCAAGGGGTAAGAGTAGATTAAGCCTGGGTTAGAAAGGAAGGAAAGGAGGAAAGGTTGCTTGAAGAGGAGGTCAATGCTGGTTAGTTCTGGGTTCTGGCACATCCAGCTGGTCTCTTTGCATGTACAGTCTGTACTGCCATAATCTATGTTATAAACTGCTGAGTGAGGCAAATTTACAAAAGGGTTTACCTGGAAAATGTTCTCAAACAATTCAACCAGTGCAACAATTTATATTGAATATGTGTACAGATGACTCTTATTAAAAAAGAAACACCAAGAAACAACAAAAAATAATTCTATTTTATTCTATAATGGGCTCTATGCACAAATCTACTACTTCCTGTTTATAAGGTCAGGTGGTTTGTTACCTTTCTTTCTCTCCTATATGAACTGATTAATTAATCCATTTGTGTCTGACCTCAGTAACCATGACAACATGGGCTAGACACACCTTGATTTATCAGTTCATCTAGTAATGAAAGACAGGAAAAAAAGGTGTTGCCTTACGTTGAAGAAGTAGTGGAGTTGTGCATTTCAGTACTTAAATTATTTCACCTATGAAACATTTCTTCTACGTAACTTTCCAGTAATATGTAAAATAAAAGTCTGCTTCTTTAATAATGATGTTGTATGGCTTACCCTTCCTGTGGAGGATTTGAATGTTAGGAAAGCTGTCCAACTGTAAATTATGCGTTCTTTCTTATGATTTTCTTGGTAATAACTGTTATCATAGTAAAATTGAGTACATTCATATCACTAATATTCACACTAAATGTCACGCTAGGAAAAAAAAGTATTCAGTTGTAATTATATTGTAATACATAACCAAGGTTTATCATACCAATACATTTCAATTGCATAGACAGATCAGATTCAGTGACACATAGTCCAACCTGATTTTTAAAGTTATATAATACAAAAAAAAAAAAGTTTATAATGCCAGTTGGTTACTGCAAGCATCCCTAGTCATTGCATTGATCTTAGCCACTAACTTAGCAATAATCATCCATAGTATTCAGTCATGAATGAAAAATCTCCCTCTAAAAATTTGTATTTATTTATGCAATTACAGGCAACAACAAAAAAATTATATATTCATGATAGTCCAATTTGTCGTTTTCCAATTACATCATAATCACAAGAAAGAAATTTGGTTAAAAAAGTTTGAGAAGGTTTTTAAAAAGTCTTACTAAAACTCACTACATTTATATGTAAGTTTATCTTTGCATAACCTAAAGAAAATAAAGTAATTATATTTCCATATCGTCCCAGTAAAAGCATGGTTTCAGGTGGATCTGTACTGTAAATGTGTGGACCAGTGGAGATAGCTTGCGGCAAAAACTGAGCTCAAAGGGAAACAAGCGTAGCAACAAGCCAAAGAGGAATATAAGTTCAGCTTTTTTTTTTACCGTCAGCACTGAGAGCAGACTGTCATAGTTTGTGTTCTCATGCATTATCCCCAACCAATTGTGTCGGTAGGATTTCATGAAGTAATTATTATTTTTGTGCCTAAGGGAGTGAGGCAGAGGTAAAACAGAATTTGAGAAAGTGGACAGATAGGGACTGAAAAGAGAGACAAAAGTGAAAAGATCACATCTGAAAGAACATGTGTTAAAAAAGAAGAAGCTTCATTTTCTCACTTCTCAAATAAATATTTATAGGAAAAGATGATGCCTTTGTGTATGACAAACAGTAATTATTACCTACACTGAGTCATATTTTACTGTCAACAGTTCTGAATAAATGAGTCATGCTGTCAGGCAGGCGGGTAGGATCTGAGAACATACTGAGGACGATCACCCAGAGGTATTGGGCTTGTTAATTGTTTTCCTCAAAGCTGCAAGCACTCTGCCTGACTACCTCTGATTGAGATACAGAGCAGCAGTCCATAAAATTACCACCACACTTCTTCTTCCAGAAGACTGTTGTAGACTATGGATTTATATTTCAAATGGAGAGAGTTTATTAAGAAATAGGAAAGAATAATATGAGCTATGAGGGAAACAGAAAAGAGGAAATTTTAGTCAAAAAATAACTCCTAAACAATTTAAAGCACTTTTATCTAATTTGTTCCAAGTACCTCAGCACCGTCAGTATACTTTTGCAATTGACTGAAAACCATTAAAGAGGATTGTGTGGAGACCTTATAAAGAGGGCGGGGCTTTGAATGTTTTCGGTGTTAACTTGGCGCAATAGTACCTCGGTAGATTATAAAGCGGGGCCATCCGGAAACAAGCAACGACCGCTCGCTTCCTCTGTTTGGAAAGCAACTTCTGCCAAACGCACTTCTTGGATCTCAGAGGCTGCTCCACCTAATGAGGGTTTAAAATTATGCAAAGCACAGCTTTAATACTCTATTGATAAATACACCCATACAGTATACATTTAGATTAAAAAAGTAAGAGTTATTTTGGATGTTATTTTAATGGATCTGTTTTTCAGAATATGAGTTAGACAACCATACGTCTTTAATGAAATGAAAAAAAAGCAGGAACTGAATGCATTTGTTGCATTTACAAAAACTTTTTCACTGAAAATCACTAAATATTCTCACATATACACACACACACACACATATATATATATATATATATATATTGTTAACAGGTAAATATATATTGTTAACAGGTAAATTTTATTGTAGAACACCATTATTACAGCTGCTAGTGAAAACTGTGCAATACCGATAGGGCCTGAAAGGGTCCTGACCAAGAAAAAAGTCACCACAGCAAAATTGGCACAAAAATTTAATTTTTGTAGTTGTCAAAAAAAACGCAATATTTTACGTGATAATATAAAACAAGGATTAAGCTGCTTGGCTTTTAAACCTGCAAACTAAACCCTCTGTCACACATGATGGTGGCACCATCATACTGATCTGTTCGGCTGTCTAAAGCAATGCTAGGCTGCATAAAATCGGATAGAACTATGAAGATTTATTTCTACTTTGTGATTTGTGATACAATTGTGATACAATTTATTATTAAAATAAAAGCTGTATAACTGAAATCCAATTATCGTTGGGTGTTCCAACAGGACACTGATACCAAGCAAACATTAATATAACTTGGAATGAACAAAAGGCATCAAGATTGACCCTATCTGTAACTCTATAAAAATTCATTGACAATATAATTCTGACTGTAACAAAGAATAATAAATGTAAAACTCCTATTAGTTCTGGTAAAATGAGTTGACAAGCATCCAACCAGAATTATGGCGGGAACTTGTGGATGGCAACTTTAAGGGTATGGCAACTCTACCACTTTCTAAAGGATATTTATTCTTTATTCATTTATTATTATTATTTTAGTAAAGGCAGTTGTATGTCTTTGGGTCTGTATGTTTAATTCATAGTTTAAAGTTGCTTTCAAATACCACCACATTAAATTAAACTTGTGCTTCTGAATCATTTTTTCTTTTTATTAAAACAACGTTGTATAGTTTTTGGTAACTGGAGCCTCTGTCTGCTGCACAATATATAATGATTTTCAGTCTTCCACTATATCTATAACCCATTTAGCGCATTAGCTTTTTTCTATTGACATTTCACCATCAACAACCTTCACCAAGATGTAATATGCATTTTCTGTACCTGCTCTAGATTAAAGATGGCCGCAGAAATCCTTTGAATGCGATCAACTACTCGTTCAGGGTCAGGTGGGCTCTCAATCCTCATCACGATGTCCTTATAAAGGTTAAGTTGCCACCGCACAGCAGGGTCCTCTGACTAAGAGAACATAACACACAGTGAAGGGGGGGGGGGGGGGGGGGGGGGGGAATAAATTCTAGGAGCAGACCTATATTAATCTGCAAAAATTTAAATTTTCTTAAACCTTTACCTTTTCTCTGATGTGCAAATTTTGACGTATATGGTCTTTAACCTCTTCATCTGTATCTCTCTGTTAGGCAGAGACAAAGAAAGAGAAAAAGAGAGAATATAGCTGCAGAAATTGTGCAGGACAAACAAGTCAGACAGCTTGAGATGTTTAAGCAAAGCTATATAGTGAAATAACATGGATTTTTTAAATAATTTCTTCCATAAATGAATGTTATATTTGAATAGAAACATGATAAAATATGGAAAGCATAGGTATTTAATATATTTCCTTGCTTCATTGCTTCCTTAGGAGATGTATGCATTGCAATAGCAAAAATCAAAACACAAGTAGACCTAATTAAACAATGAAATAACATCAACAATGAGTCTGGGTCCTATGGAAATGATGATGATTAACCGCAGTAGCATTTGCAAAATTGTATCCATATATGTGTATACTACTGCAACTACACAGTGCAATGAAAAAATAATGACACCCTTTAAACTTTTTACATCTTTTCATGTTAAAACCACAAAAGTAATTGTATTATACTGTATTTGGATTATATATCATAAACTGACAAATTAGTTTAGATTTATAAACTGGTAGAAAAAGAAATTCTTTTAAAGCTTTTAACAGATAAAAACCCAGAAAGTGTGTCTTGGAGCTACAATCATGGCCTTTCATACTGATACCCCTAAATAGAATTTACTAGAATCAATTTGCCTAAGAAATTAGCTTTTGTTTTGTAAATAATAATTCCCTGTGTGAATTATCTCAGGATAATCCAGGTATTTTTAAAGGGGTCAGAAGTCAGAACATTAATAAAAAAACATCATCATAAAGTCCATCAAACATGGCAGAAATGTCAAGGTTGACAGGTTTAAAGCAGGGTATGTTTAAAAATAAATCACAAACCTTGAAAAGCTCACAGAGCACTGTCTTATCATTCTTTAAATCATTAAATGTGTGGTAAACTGGTAGTCTATTTTGACATAGCCAGAAATCTAAACTTTGGGGCCAGTGAGGCAAACATACATGAAGTCCATTGTAAATGAATCAGCTGTAGAGATTCACTCTTCAGCTACAACCTGCTAACCTAACAACTGACATTATTGCGTTCCACAACTCTAAAACTACAGAAGTTCAGCAAAAAGAAGCAATGATCACAGATAATTGTTATATTTTCTGTTTGCATTTGGCCACAGATAACTTTAAATTAAGAGACATCCATGGCTCCAGCCTTATCAGAATGTTACCCTATGATTTTAGTTTAAGGACACTGCTCTCATTCCATTCCCAAATCTTTACCACCTACATACCGAAGATGGCTTTTTATCCTGACACAGGAATTGCTCTAATTAGATAAACTATTTAGGAAAACATTGTGTTACTCAACAGAAAGGGATTGTTAGGGATGATTAACAGAGTCAGACAGCATCAAATAAAATAATCCTAACCAAATACATGAAGCATGTAGAAGGTGTTTGGATCTGATGAAAGCAAGATTGACTTTAATGCCTAAGTGCAAACATCTTATGTGTCAGAAAATCAACATGACAGACTGAACACAATATCTCAAAGGTAAACCTCAATGTCTGCAGGAATTTTAGCAGGGCAGAGGAGAAGACCAGAGTTGATGGAAAAATTGATAATGCTCACTGCAGGGAAATCTGAAAACCTGTTAGAAACCAAAAAAGACTTGAGATGGGTCTGAAGAATCCAATTCCCACACAAGCATGTAACCAAAGCTAGAACAGAGAGGTTTAAGTTAAAGCACTATCAACCTCTACAATAACTAGTCAAATTCCAAGCTTTAATCCAGAATCTGAGATTATACCCGAAAATGTTACTCACTGATGCCATCATCCGTTCAATTGTACTGAATGAAGATGGAAAAAGAAAACAAATATTCTACCCATGCATTGCTTGTAGATATGTTACTGAAAAGGCTCCCAGGTGTAGCTAAACAGAATAGTATTTCTCTGGAGTTTTATTCAGAGGACTAAATAAAAATACTGGCTTTTGTTTTTACATTATTGTAACAGCTTGAGTTTGAGCTTTATGCTGTATTGTCGCAGTGTACCACAAAGATATTAATAGAAGGTATGAAAAGGTTTAAGGGGTACCAACTATTTCCAGTAAATTTCTATGAAAATGACACCATAATTAGGCTGTTCTGAGAGTCATCTTTATGCACTGGTGTTCTCATTAAATTGCTTTAATCTTTCAAATGCTTTCTCACCATTAGGTAGCGGGTCTTGGCTAGAGAAATAAGCTCCTGATCTCCGGGGGTGCACATGTTGAGACCGATTGGCAGCATCTTCTTTAGAGCAGCTACAATTAGTGAGGTCTGGATGGAGTAGAACTCCCCGCGTCTTTTCTTATGTCTCCTCTCCTGGTCTTGTCCCCCAGACTGAAAAGTTTACCACAACATGCTTAATAAACAAGTATTTTTAACTGAAACCTTGAAGCCTATATTTTCTGGCTATAAATTAAGATTAAAGGAAAAATCTGTTCACATTCAGAATTTAAACTTCTGAAAGTACTTTAAATAGGAAATTATTACATAATGTTCAATAAATGATAAGTGTTTTTCATTAAGAGTAATTTCATTTGAATGTGCTTCACCGGAGACTTCCATGTTTGTCAAAGAACACTACTGCCACTTATCGGTTTGTGACGTCACGTTGCTTTATCAGCTGTTGATCAAGTCCCAATGCTGCACCTAGTGTTTGTCACAACCCATTATTATCCAAGTCATCTTCAAAACATTCTTCGAAATGTTGGCTACATATTACGTGGTTTTTCTCTGGCCAGAGGTTTGATGGCAAATCCCCCCTCTTCAAGTTGGCAATCCAACAAAGAACCCGTCCGTGGAGGATCATGAATCGGAAAGGCGAACAAATTTTTTATTATTATTATTTTTTTTACTTTTAGCCACTGTATTACAACATCCAACTGCCATGCACGTAGGAATTGTCAGTTTAACTATAGCTCTAGCAAATATCAATGGTAAAGCCCTATCCAAATCTTAAATAATTATTGTGGATGTGTCAAGTAGTTCCCATTAATTTAGCTTGTAAAGCAGGAAGAATGGCACTAGGTTTACAGCACCGTGACGTCACTGCCCAAAGATGTCAGGAGTGGGGTGTTACTATATTTGGGCAAAAATGGCCGGTCCCGGACTCAGTGATCGCGAAAATACTTGTTTTTATTTTTTTACTGATTAATGCTAAAGTAATTAAATCTACACCAACATATTAGTTTTAGGTATAGTTAATGATCCATTGATTATTCCTTGCTAACCAGACTTTTCCTTTAAAGAAATGTATGAGCCACATTTACAAGGTGTCATTTTACATAAAGGAAACAATAAAACTGACTCAGTACAAACACTTATATTTTTAAATACTACAGATAATATTGCATGATAATAATACTGTATAAACACCAAAAAAGACATACATACACAGCCAAATTACAGACTGATAACTAAACACACAAAAATCCTAAAACTATTGACTAAAGACGGAGGGGTATCACCACAAATCAATTGCAAACACAAACATCACATTATACTCTGCAGAAGGACAGAGCCTTTCATACCAGATTAACTGTGTTTAACCCATACAGCAGCGCGGAATGAAAAAAATGACCATGTCACACACATTGATAAATGGAATCAAGAAATAACGACGCAACATAACATATAACTATACTATTTAGACTATATAGCACATTGGGCACAAGCTATTGGCTTTTCTGCTTGGCGAAAAGCATATGCAAGCCAATAAGCTGGCAGGTTAACAGCACATGCACTGCATCACTCTACCTTTTCCTTAAAGGACTGTTTGAGTTAGAGGGACAGAGAAAGACAGACAGAAGGAAGCAGTTAAGGGGAAAAATGGTGAGAGGGCTGGTTTTATCAGAGGCTCAAAGTCCATTTGATGTGAACATGCAAAGCAATGAAAAACATTAGTTTCGCCTTCAAAGAGCAGTACCTCGCAGACATATTGGAACCAAAGAATGAAGATTAGTGTGTATTTCTTTTAATAAACATGCATAGGTTTTAATATTACCACACATACAAAATACGCACACATATGGGAAATTTAACAAATCAGATCCTTTGTAAAGGCTTCTATATAATCTCACAGCCATATTTAGATTACAAAATCCTCTCACATGTGTGGTTATTGTTGTGTTAACCTATGGGCTGTGCTCCATGTTAACATATAAGCACATGTATGGATAAAATATTTTTTTCTTACATGGCAGAAAAGATGTTAACATGTGTCCTCCTAATGTCCATGCTTATAGTGTGTTTGTACTTTTAAGTTCTCATGGAAGTTTTTTTTTTTTTTTTGCCCTTCTGGATTTAAGGTTGTAAAGGTAAAGGTAAAAACTTACCTTTGACATCTTTGTTTTGTTGTCTCCGGTCAAAAAGGAGAGATTATTGATTTCATTCTGCACCACAAAGTTCTGCTCTTCTCTTTTAAAATTCTAAACAAGGAAAAATAAATTATAATATTTGTATTCATACTTCCTAAATTAGAAGGATATAATCCTGGATTTTGGAAAATTTAACTCAGACATTTTTATATCCGCTGACACAAATGGTCAACCAGTAGAATACACATTACCAACAATTAACTACAACTGGACTGAGAAAAGTTAGATCTCTGCTGAGGCTGCAGTCAAAACAGGTCAAACCTCACTTCCAGACATGCTTATAAGAAAGCTTGTCTCTCACAACAACTGCAATGAGTTTTCTGGGTCTGCCACTGCATAAGTAATTGGTACCATTGCTTTGATGACAGGGGAAAGGTTGGGATTCTGGAAGGATGCCAAATAGCATTTCCACTGCAGCAAATACCAACTATATACCAACTATATATTAAAAAGAAGCAAAGAAGTGTATTCAGTGGCATCAGAATTACTGCCTGAATACAGTTGCACACACCTCAAATTTGTATAAATCCTTTATAAAAAAGAAAGTTATGTTTTTTTTTATGTCAATACTTTTGCATGCTTTGTAAATGTATTGTGTCAGTCAATACAGAAGGACGTAGCTTGATGATTTACATGTGATTTGCACCATAGGATGAAAATCTCAGCGACCATTCTGAAGAGCTCATTGGAGTCTGAATCCGGTTCTTTTAGCCACCTAGACCTGCAGAAAAAGAAAAATTAGGTGCCCTTCATCATTTTGTTTTAATGTAGACAGTAAAAACTCAAACATAAAAGATACATTTTGCAATTATTTGACCTGTTGTTGTCCACATAGCGGATGAGCATGGGGTAAAATGCATAGAGATCCCTGCAGAGAACAGCAAACTCATCTAAAATGAGCAGCTCAGCCTCCTGAGTGTCTCCTTTACTGTCAGCCTTCAGAAGCTCTTCTTCGGCCACCACTTTCACAGTTTTCTTCTTTAGTTTCTCCAAGGTTGGCAAGAAATGGCTCTTCAGCAGGTCTGCGCGGGCCTTACTGATGATGGGTTGTACATAAACTGAAGTATATAATAGCAAATGTGATTTTTTTGATAGTATCATATATTAAACAATGCTACAATTTTTATTTGACTGAGTAGAATACCTGCGATTCTCTTCATCCATGAGGCCTCATCGATGCCCAGATTGTTATTGAGGATCTTTAAAATGTTGCCCAAGATGAGGCTGAGATGCTCTGATGTGACAGTAGTGCAGCAAATGCTGCCACCACTTGTGGGCTGGTTTTCAGGGCCTTTCTCCCACCAGTAGGACAAATAGTTACACAGCATGGGCAACACCACCTCAATTACATGTGGCATCTCAGTGTACCGTGCTCCAGACTCAGCCATGTCATTGATGTCTTTCATGAGCCCATCAAGCCGCGGCATCCCAGGACACATCTCCTCGACAGATTCTCTGATTCCCAGGACTAAAACATCACAATGGTGTCATTCAAACACAGTTACAGGAACTTTAGTATCAAGAGGATCTGTCGTATTTAGATCTATCCCTCTCTTGGTAGCAGAGGCCCCTTTTCTATAATGATAAATGCTTGACTTTTATTATCAATTTGTAACTCACCAGCTCGATCTCTGGCACTCTTGGTATTAAAAACAGAAGAGGGGTTGTGCGTGTTGAGCTTTGGCTCCAGGAAGGCTACAGGCATGGCGCCAGCGAGGGTAGCCAGACACTGACCGAGAGCTGGCAGCTGCCTTAAAGTTACACAATTAACAAATGACCATGTGGCTGTTTCTTTTTTTAAATGAAGTAATTCCCTTCAGTTAAAATTTTAAGCTGATACCTTTCCACATAGATGTTTTTTCCAGTGCCAAGTGCATAGAGACTGGTCAGGATTCGATAACAGGACACCTGGACATCATCCACTGAGGACAAAAAAAGGATGAAGAAATTACGGAAAAACTTAATGCACATGTGACTGCAAAAAGGCCTGTATATACAGTATATAAAGTAAATCTCCCTATATATATATATATATTAGGCTCTCGCTGTGTGTATTAAGAGGTGTGCATCATAATTTAATATTTAGCAATATATCAATAATATATAAGTGCTGTAATATGTACCATGCAGAATATATCCTGCATGTCAGCAATAACTAACTAAAAGACTTTCCTTTTGATCCAAGAAAATTTCCAGTATCAAAACAAAGTACAAAAGAACCCGCCACCTTTGATCGTTTCCTTCTCTGTCAGGACTTACAAAGCAGATCTACTCCAAAGTGGTGTTGGGTGATGTGTTCAAACAGAGCAGTTAGAATGGGAAGCAAAGCCACAGTGGTGTAATTGATATTCTGCGACACGCCTTTCATCTGTGAGCGAGAATGAGTGAATTTTCCCAGCTTCAAGTTCTCAAAGGTCTTCTCCAAGTCCTCTGCAGCATTCTCAAAGAAGGTCCTCAACCCAACCCTGACTTGCTCCGAGCCGGACTTCATCACTGTCCTGTGATATTTAAAAATAGAACCAAAATTAAATTGGTAATGTGTGTATAAAAAGGATATCACTTGATATCCGTACATGTATTAAATACCTTGTTTAGTCTGAAATGGTTTCTCACAAATTATAAAATAAGCAACCATTAGGCTGTCTGTCTGAGCACTATGTCATAAATTATTTATCCAGTGAACGGGGAAAAAAAAAAGGAAAATTCAAGGGGAGGTGCCAATTTTAAACCCTAGAAATAAACTCAAAAAACAGCAACATTTAGCCCAACTTTAAAATATAAAACTATGAATGGTTTTCATATTTTACAGTTCCTAATATTAGTAAATACATGTCCATGATAAACCTTGAAGTGCCAGGGAAGAAAAAAATAAAAAAAGAAACTCCCCGCTGTCCAAATAGTTTTTTCAGCATAAACATGTCCCTTTTTGGGGCTTTTGTTTGATTTAGCCTCGGGAATGAAAATTTACATTAACATCAAGAAACCCTGCCCTAAAAAGCATCAAGGGCCTCAGGAAAACCAATTTGCTGCATAAAAATGTGATCAAAATCATTTTAAATTTATAAAGGAAATCTTGGAAAGCAGCAATTCCCAAAAAACTTAAGAAATTTTCTAAAAGGGGAAATCCTAAAAAAAAACTAATTAAGATAAAGGGCTACATTAGATTTTTTTAAAGAAAAAACTCAGGGTTTCAAAATTAGATTAATTGCCATTTTCCCTTTTTTTTTTTAAGAGGAAAATGCAAAACAAACCACATTTCTTGTTTGCTTAGAGTTTTGCCTAATTTGTACCCACCTGGGCCAAGTGGGGCCAAATGTGCAGACAGCTACCTTTCGTGGGGAGCCCACCCCCCCAAAAATAACACAAAAAGTCCATTAGCGGGGAACTTTTCAACAAAATTTTTTCCCCGATATTTTTTAAAATTTTTATATTTTTTTTTAGATTGAATTTTCAATTCAGATTATATTTATTTGCTACGGTAACCTGACTTCATATTACAATGTTAGATATTTTTTTTGTAATTTTCTCTTTCTATATCTGGAGGGGATTTTATCATACATATATAAATCTATTTCCTAGAGAAATTATTCTTACGACTTGATGTTTCTAATTTTTGCTACTTTGCAACCACAAACTTTAAACCCAATTTTTTAATTGGGAAAATTTCTTAAGGCAAAACAACCCGGGTAAAAAATTTTTAAAAAAAAAAGTATAAAAAAAATCACATAAAAATCCCTTTTAAAAATTATTCAACAAAATTAGAAGACTTTTTAAAGAAAAATGATTTTTTTTTATTTTTAAAAACTTTTTAAATCTTAGGGGGGTTGTGAAAAAGGGTATTTGAACACTTTCATTTTGACCATTTTTCCTAATTTTTGAACAAGCGGTGTTAATGATTTTAAAACACAAAGGGTTTTAAGGTTTTCAAACACAGGGGGCCCCTTAAAAGGAGTTTTCTCTGGGGGGAAATAAAAATTGACCCGGGGAAAAGGTCCCTTTGGGTTTTAAACAGAAGTTTAAAAGGCTTCCAGAAAAAAAAATCTGAAAGCTGTGTACTGAAAAAAATTTGTAAAAATGTTAAAAAAATTAACTTTTAAGTTTTTAAAAAACATTTTTCCCTAAGAAATTAATACAGGTTTTCAAATTGAAAGAGAAACTATCGGGGTTGGAAAACCCAAAAAATCAAATTAAAAAATTGTTTGAATAAAAAGGTTTTTTTTAAACAATTTAAAAATTGCTCGGGAAATATGGGTTTTAAAAAAAGGGAAAATTGAAAAATTTAAATTTTGAATATTATTTTTAAAATGTAAAAAAGGGAAGGGTATTTTAATGTTTCTGTTGTTTCCCATTTTGGTTTAAGGGCAGGTTTCAATTTTTGGGGGTTTTGAAAGGGTGCAAAAGAGAAAGTTTGACTGTGAAAAAACCCTTTTCCCCTGAAAAAAAAATACTAAATTTTAAAAGTTTTTTCCCTTGAGATTTATGCGGGGAAAGGGGGGCCCTCAACATTCCCCATCATTCTTTTTAAACTTTTTCTCTTTGCCAGCCAGTGCCCCTTGGGGAATCTAGGGGGGGGCCCCGCCGTAAATTGTTTTTCTGAGTGCCCCAAAGTACCTTCCCAATTGGTCAAGCTGCCCAAACCTTTAAAAACAAAAGGGAAGGATTTAAATCAAACTTATAAAATTTTTGGGCACGGGGCCCAAAAATTCAGAAAGCTGCCATTTTTTTTTGTTTTTGCACCAGCTCTCTCCAAAGACGCGTCTTTGCCTCTTTTTTCTATTTTTCTCTACTAAAGGGAACGAATGAATTTTTCTTTTGTTCTGCAGTTTTTTTTTTAAAATTCATAAAGCTGTTTTTTTTTTGGGAAAAAAATTCTTTTTTTTCCCTGTGCCCTTTTTCGCTTTATCTTGCTGGTTTTTCCTTTGGGGCCACACCAAACTCGCTGAGCGCACCGGGGGAAGAGGAAAAAACAACCCAAACCCTTTTTTTCCCAAAGTTAATTTTTTTAAATTTTTTCTTCCTTAAAAAATTTTGGGGGCCCCGGTCCCGGGGTTCAAACTGGGCGAGCGCTTTTTGGTCCTATTAAACCCTCCCGCCCGCCCTTTCCCCGGTGTGGTAAAACCGAAATTTGTTTAAATTTTTTTTGTTTTAAACCGCCGTGGGGTGGGGCCCCGGGGCTAAATTTTTTTGGGGGGCGGCCCACAGAAATTCAAAACCCTGCAAAAAATAAAATAAATCTCCTTAAAAGATGGGGTTTTTTTAAAGGATTTTTTTTAAAAACATTACGGGAACTGGGGCAAATAAAAAACAGAGCCTTTAACTTTAACTCTGATTTAACTGGGTTTTTTAAAAAAGAAGGTTTTTTTGGGAATTGAAAATTAAAAAAATTTTGATTAATTAAAAAAAGTTTTTTTTTTATTTTTTTAAACCCTGAGGGAGAAATCCCTGGGGGCCTCTAAAAAAGAATTTCGGGTGACTGTGTTAAAATTAGCAGGGGCTTGTATCACCCGGAGATTTCGCCCTCCCCCTTTTTGGACTTAAAAAATTATTTGGGTTAATTGGACCGAGTTGAAATCACTCGGGGGAAAAATTAAAGGACTAATAGCGGGTTGGATCACCTTTTTTTGGGGGCCCCCTTTAAAAGGGGTTGCTTATGGGAAAAAAGGACTAAAAATAAATTTTTTGGGATTTAAAAAGGGGTTAAATCGCCCCTCCCCCAACGGAAAAAAAAAAAAACCTTTTTTTCACTGGGGGGGAATGGTTTGTTTCGAATAAACTAAATTGACTTATTTCGCCTCGAGTTAAACCCACTCTGAGTGGGGGAAATTTGAATAGATGAAACATATATTTTTTTGTAGGGGGGCGCCTAATTTTTTTAATTTTAATTTTTTTTTCTTCTTTTTTTTTCCGCGGGTTTTGACACTGGGTTTTTTTTGTCGATTTCTATTTTTTTCAATTTTTGAGACTGCGGCGTGGGGGTGGGTTCGAATCTCCCGAGCTCGTGGGTGTTTCTGTTGCGTTTGGCTGGGGGGGGAAACGCTGAAAACCGCTGTTTGGGCTGATTTGGTTGATTTTTCCCCAAAATTTTTTATTGAAACAAAAAGGATGGACTCCGTTTTTGCAAAAAAAAGTTATTTCCCCTTTCCCCCCAAGGGTTTTAGGTCCGGGGGAAACCCTGCAGAACAGATTTGTTTGATTTTAATTTGGGTTTTTTATGATCAGCAGCTTGGTTTGGTTTTCCGCTTCATCGAAGGCGTTTTTTGAAAATCATTTTGGGAAAATGGGGTTCGAAAACCAAAACAAACTTCTTACTGCGAAAAAGGGCCCCTTTTGGGTTTGTTTTTAAATAAATTTTTTAAAAACAACCTTAGCTGTCAGGTTTGCAGTGCGATTTACAGAAGGATAAAGCAAGTTTTTTTGGGGCAAGAAAAACAATTTAAAAAGCAAGAACGGGGAACGGGAAATAGACATTTTTGGGGCAAAACCTTTCTGGGGGGTTGGGCGGGAAAGGGATCCCCCCTTTAATAAAAAGGGGTTAAATTACACAAAAATTTTTCGGACTCATTTCCCCGCTGGGTTAATCCCCAATGGTGTGTTCTGAACAACCAAAACAGCTACAAAGTCCATCTGATGCTCCATTTCCCGCCTCCAAATAATAATACCAATCCCTTTTACAGGGGAATTTTTACCCTTTTTTTGGGAGGGTTCGTATGGGAAACGGCAGAAGGGGAAAATGTGGGACTCCTCCCCATTTTTTTTCTGGGTTTCCACCGTAAAGGGGGCACCCGAGTCAACGACTCTACCCCCCCGAAAACCCCTTTACATTTTTGCCCTTTTTCTGTATCTTCCTGTGGCAATGGGCGTCCACGTAAAAAAAAACTCTGTTTTTCCCGCCCCCTTTCCTGCGACTTTACCAAGTATAAAACCCCAAATTACACAAACCCCAAATTCACACCCCCCCCCCCTTAAGCCCCTTCCTCAAAGGGAGGGAACGGGGGGAAGGTAAAAACTGAGCAGGGAAATGAAACTGGTGGGCCTCTTGGAGGGAAATTTCCCGCCTTCTCGGGGACCTCCCCCCTTTTTTTCCCCCAAACACGTGAGGGGGCGTTGGGGTTTTCCCTCCACCCCTATTGCATGGGATGGGGCCAATCTAATTGATCTAGCAAGTAGGGGGGCTATCCCTCCCCTTGTAAACATTGACAAAACCCCCAGTTTTTTTTGGGGTTCCCCCCCCTGGCGTAGTTTTCTTTTTCCTGCCCCTTTTTGGGGAAAATTGAGGGGGAGTATCCCGGCGTAAATATTGATGATTTGACCAATGTTTTTTCTACTTTATCGATCATTCAGAAGGCAAAATCAGTACATTTTTGAAGTTTCATCTAATCACGTTTAGGGCCCTTTTTAAATTTAACACAACGGGGTTTTCCAGGATATAAACCTTTCCCCTTTGGGGTTTTTGGGCAGACCCTTATTGTTTAAGTTACCCTTCGGTGGATGGTGCTTTTCCCCTTGGGTTACGGGCTTTGGATTCCCTAACAGGGGGTTAAAACCTTAGTTTTGGGGAAAATTTCAAGCTATTT